GGAGGTTTATTCAGCATGGCAGAGGACGAATACTATTTGCATAGACCGGTCAGAAGGAATTAAAACTGTTTGTCTTTTCCTTTAGCCCGGTCTTTTCCCATTACAGAGCGTTCAGAATATTTTTGTAAGTCATTTGACTGTCTCTTTGGTGGCTGTTCACGGCAAAGAGGTTTCCAAGCACACAGGTGTTTGAGTAACTCCCTATAAATAAATGAATTCTACTCACAAATGAATTCCTGGATTCGGTAGCTGGTTAAGTGTCCCTTAGTGTGTTTAGGAGCAGTGAATCACCGTGTTCCTCCCATTATCTCAGCGATAAAGCAAAGTTTGTAACTCTCAGGCAGAAATACGCCTACTCCTGTCTGGGAGAAGCAATGCTTCCAAAGACAGGGAAGGATTTTTTCCTGCTTTTTCTCTTTCCCTCTCCTCTGTGTTCAGATTCCTCTGTGAATGGCTGCTTTCTGGAGTAAACTTTCCTCTCACTGTGGCTCCAGCCACCCTGACATGTGCTAATATGCTCTTTACCAAAGATGATTTCTATTTCCAGCCCCACTTGCAGTGCTGGGAATTACAGGGCGACCTCCTTTCTGTCAGGATAGTTGGTGGTGAGCACAGCAGTGTCTAATTCAACTGCAATCCAGAGCGGGGGAAGGGAGCTGCTCCTCCGGGGAAAAGGGCAGGTTTTCAGCAGCTCTTTAAAGGAATTAAGGAGCAATTCCTCCCCGTCGAAGCAGAGGATGGAGATTCCATGTGGGACTCAGTAGGTGGCACTCTGTTTCTGGAGAGAGCACCGAGCCTTGGGAGAGCAACTGGATTTCTGTTTGGTTTTGGTTTGAACCAGATCTGTTCGTTGAAGAGCTGTTCTTGTAAGGTTAGCAAGGTTGGCCACGGCGTCTGAGCTAAATTCCACTGCTGGGGAGAGTATCCTGGCTCCCTGGCATTTCCAGTTAGGTGCATTTTTATTTTTGCTTCCTTTTGAGGCAGTGCCTCACTTCAACCCAGAGTTGGCTGCCTTTCAGCAGGAGCTGGAAACATCCAAAAAGCATTGTTAATTTAGAGGTGAGGTTGCTCAAGTCTATTTTCTCCTGACAGTACAAACACTACAGGGCCAGAACAGAAGGTGAGGCCACAAATGTGCCCCACTCCGGGGCAGGGTTTGAGTGCTGTTCTGACCAGAGGTGCTGACTGGGCTCACCTCTATCCTCTGAGATCCACTGCTTCCTCTCCAATTCCTCACAGCCTTTCCTGAGCTCCTGCACTGTAACTGGTCGCACTGCACCATGGAATAGTTTTGAAAAATCAAGGTTTATTTAATTTTACAATTACTCCCAAAAGCAATATTCCTGGCCTGCTGTTACAGTATGCACTAGACAGAACAGAAAGATGATCTGATGTTCAAAATCCACAAATTAATACCTACAAAGTGTACAGACTGTCAGATCAGCTGAGCGACACCAGCAGTGCTTAAGGAGCGTATATTCTTGAAGTGTCTCTGCCACACTAATTCTCAGACGCATTCTGTTTAAATAATATATTAGGAATTAAAAGATCGGGGGTAGCGGTGCATGTTAAAATGTGATTTTCAGATCCAAGAAGCGTGCAGAGAGTAGGATGTAGTATAAGAACCAAGTGTGTTTGAACAAGACATCTGGTTTATATAGTGCTGGCTGTTCCCTGTGCTGTGAGCTGTTCAGTTGCACTGAGTCAACTATAATAAAACAATACATTCATATTTATTAATTTTTTATGTAGGCTTTTGAAAACAGGAAGAGAAGTGAGAAGAACACAGGATATCAAGGAAGATGCCCAAGAGATGCATCTGTGTTAAGCTCTTTTGCAAACCATATGAATAGCTTCAGATCTGGTTAGACTCAAGAATCAAATACAGGTCCTAACCCTTATTTAGCCTCAGACTTCCGTGGGCAAATCCCATGCTCTTAATTTTGCCATGTGACTTCTCTATCTGCAAGACAGGGTTAATAACTCCATCTGCCTCTCATGGGTGCAGCGCAGCCAATTTCATCACTGTCAGCTCCGTGGAATCCCTGGGTGAAAGGAACAACAGAAATACAGAAAATATGGGTTATTAATAGCTGGTGCTTGCCCTTACATACATCACATGCACCGTTAGTCTTTGTGGCCAATAATTTACAGGGAGTGAAAAGATGTTCCTGAGAGTAAACACAACATGACACATGGATGGTATTAGACCTCTGAGGTGGTGTGGTCCCCAGGAGTCTAATTCAGTCTAAATCCAGGGATGCCACCCTGAGCAGATCCTACTTCATACATGGGTAAGATGGAAATGTGCAGGAACTGTGCAGATCTTAATAGTCAAATTTAAACTTCTAGGCAGTTTATATTGTAAAGGCGGGTTCTGGAATTGGTGTGCAGACCAGATTCCTGGTGGTTTCCAGCTTTTTCTGCCTCCTTGGTTACATCCTCCTTGACACCTTGGATACCCTTCTGTTAGCAGGGATGCCCTGGGTACAAAATTTACCTTCTGTAGTTTGTAAGTGGTGGCTCTGGAGCTCAGAACTGAGGGGAGCCTGTGGCAGTAATCTCGGGTCACTGGTACCCCCTTGAGGAGAGCTGGGGTGTAAGAAACACATGGCCATGAATTTCAGCACTTCACCTCTCTTGCCCACATTGCAGACCATGATTCTCCATGGCCAGGTCAGCAGTACCAGCAGACTGGGAGAGAAGAGCCTGTGGGAAGGGAGTTTGAGGAGCTTAGAACGGGAAGGGTGAGAAATGCTGGAAATCAGGATGCAGGACAGCTGACTGAGAGAAGCCAGGGCAGCAGGATGTGCCCCAGTCAGGCAGAAAGCATTTCACTGGGCTTCTGTGTGTGTGGAAGATGTCTTCCTTTAATTGGGAGCCATCCTGCCACTGCTGTCAGTGTCCCCAGCTGTCACTAAGTATGGAAATCATCACCCAGCATAAAAGGAAGAGGCACAAAATCCAAAGATCTCTGAAGAAAGCCACTTTCTGCAAGCCTGGCCATGCCTGGTTCATGCCATTAATTTGAAACTTGGGAAAACTCATTTTCTTTGTGCATATCTCCTCCTGTATCCCCGAGGGCAAATTAAAGATGGCTGGGAGGTTATTTATTTTCGGTAATAATGCACACACTGCTTCCAGACTTCCTGCCATTGTGCGATTATCGAGATTAATTGCCCGGGAAAGCTGCAGCATCATCTCAGGCCCTTAATAAGGAAGATCACAACATGCATTTATATTAATGCACATTGCTGTGTGACACGGCCTTGCTCTTAGAGCCACACGGACAAATCTCAGTGCCGGGTGCTACCAGCACCACTGTACCTCCAGACTAAGGGAAGGGTTGCATGTTCCCTTCCCTGCAGGGCCATGGCACCTTGAGAGCAAGGAAGAGAGAGTTGATGACATTTTTAGAAACCTCGTTAGTGAATAACTTTGCTTATTCTGAAATCAGTTCCCATCAGCCTCTGCTGAGTGATTCTGAGAATTGCTGGTGTGCTGCTGGTGACCCTGTCTGTACAGGTGCAATAGCTGGAATCTTAAGTATGCTTTTAGGTGCTTTAAAGTGTTGTGTTCTTACCAGGAAGAGAGACTCTGTACAGAGAAGGCTTTTAAAGCATATTCTGCCCTTTTAGTTTTCCTGCTGAGAGTTTAACAAACCAGTGTTGTTGCCTTGCTATGGAGATCCTGTTGTGCAGCAGCTCAGTCTGGTCCGAGGCTCAGGTTTTAAATGAACAACCATTAACAAAGGTAGAGCTTGAGGAGCTTTAAAGCAGATCCAGTTCTCCTAAAACATTTCAGTGACTTGGACTGTAATGTGTCAGGCAGAAGAGCAGCATGTGCGTGTCCTTCAGCAAACTCAACACTTTCCTCTGTTAAATCGCTGTAAATCCAGAGTCACTCCAGTGCCATCACTGCTGTTAATTGTTCATTTGCTGTGACAAGTTAGTTGTGGTATCTCACAATATTACAGTGGCTGCCCCATAGAATACAAAGTGGAGCTGATGAAATCTTGGCAGTGGGAGTCCACCATACATTGGCATCTCTACATGTGAAACATTTGGAGGGGACTGGAGCACCACTGTGTTGGGCAGTGAGGCTCCTCAACAAACTGACACCCAGGAAAGGTTTTAGTCCTCACTCTGGGTGAGCTGTGACCACATTATCTGATTGTGTATCTTTTACACCAATACCCATGGAAAAATCTTTAAAAAAATCCCAAACAAATAAATTAGGGATTATACTCAGACTGTGTGTACCTTCAAAACAAAAAGGGATGTTATTGTAAGGTCCACTGGATAATATTGACTTGCCACTGAGGTGAAGATAAGCTTCTTGGAGACTGTGCTTCATGGAACAGCAGTTAAATGTTGTTGTTACTTTCCTTAGAAATGAAATAGATATTTCCAGGCACGTGACTCCGAGCTTTATTGATTACTTCTGTACAACACAGGAGTCTATAGAGTGTGGACTAAGTCCTGAAGTCCAGGCTCCATGTAAGCTTGGCTCAGCAGGAAATCTGAACTGAGCCCTGTAGATGACAGCCCGGTCTCCAGTTCCATCCTGATCCCAATGCTATCAGTGCTGGCTGCTTCTAAAGAAGGATCAGCTTGATGATTTTGACCCCAAATGGCTTTACTGACATACAGACTGAGGCCTTCCAAATTCTCTCCTTACCCAACAGTTGCTGTAATAAGTGCAGGTTTGTCAGTCTCTTCTGGGGCAGCTCCCAAGTCCCAGTGAAAGTTTCCAAGTGGGCATGGCCAGCCGTGCACTCAGTTCCCTCAATCCTTTCTGAACCCTCAAAGCCAGAGGATGAGTGTTCCTGTGATATTAATTACTTAATTAGCAGCTTGTGCCCTCTGTGCAGCAGGCAGAGCAGCAGCAAGGGGAGTGACTGACAGCAGAGATGTATTAGTTCATTAGTTCGGTTGACCCGGGCTTCCCTGATCTCCCGCTCTATGGCTGATCTCACATGTCTCTGTCTTGCTGTCCAGGTTTTATTGGGATTTGACCATGCTGCTCCTGATGGTAGGGAACCTGATCATCATCCCTGTGGGCATCACTTTCTTCAAGGATGAAAACACTACCCCATGGATTGTCTTCAATGTGGTTTCGGACACGTTCTTCCTCATCGACCTTGTCCTCAACTTCCGAACAGGCATCGTGGTGGAGGACAACACCGAGATCATCCTGGACCCACAGAGGATCAAGATGAAGTACCTCAAGAGCTGGTTTGTGGTGGATTTTATCTCCTCCATCCCTGTGGACTATATCTTCCTGATCGTGGAGACCCGCATTGACTCGGAGGTGTACAAGACGGCCCGGGCCCTGCGCATCGTGCGCTTCACCAAGATCCTGAGCCTGCTCCGGCTGCTGAGGCTCTCCCGGCTCATCCGCTACATCCACCAGTGGGAGGAGGTGAGCACAGCCTCTAGGGCACTTCTAAATCTTCCCTTGCAAAAGGGCTTGCTTTGAATGCCCACTCCCCTCCTTTATGCCAGTGCCATTGCTAAACAGTTGTGGCTGGGGCCTAATGCTTTGTTTTTAGCAGGTTCCCAAGAGGGCCTTCTGCATCTTGTTACTTAGGCACTTGAGACTGTGCTGTCGGCTGGAGGATCATCACTGAGATGATGTGTGGAGATGTTGCGTGGGCTGGGAGGAGAGCAGGACCCCTTGCAGGAAGTGTGTAGTGATAGAGCTGCCTGTGAGCAGAGCAGTTACCCAGACAGCGAGGGCTTGCCCTCCCAGAGCCCCAAAAGGGCCAGAAACAGCTCAGAGGAAAGGTCTAGAGACAGCTGATTTGCAGGACCTGTGGCATCTGTTTACCATCTGCTTCTTCTATGTGCTTATCTCTTGAATAAAGAGAGAAGCATGGTGATGTATTATAACCTTGCTGTCTAAATTCTGTGACACTCTCTTAAGGGGAAGAGGAAGAAAGAACAATCTGCAGACAAATAGAGTCTGTTTAAAGACATAAAGGTCTGGTGCAAGCCAGATCCCTACTACCACCCCTGGACCCTGTGTTGTTCCCAGGGGAGTTCCAGGATGCAGGGTGAGTTGTCAGGCGTAATGTGAGTGAAGGTGCAACCTTTCAAGTACCTTGAAAATTAGTTATTTTTTCCTGTCTCCGTGCTCTCCAAAGCAGAGAGAAAGCTCCCTGCGTCTTTCTCCACACCTCAGGAGCATATTTTCCGGACAAGGAAAGCTGGTCAAGGCAATTTCATCTTCCTCCCCATACTTTCTCTTCTGCTTTGGAGCAGAGCCTGATGCAGAGCATGATCTAATGCGGAGCGTGCTCCTGGGAACGTGAAGGGAAAGCAGCCATGCAAGTCATGGCTGGATTGCACCGAGCTGTCAGAACGTTAATTTATGGCAGAGCTGAACCGACCCCTCCTCCAGCGTGGCAGACTCAGGGAGAGCACTGGAGCATACTCTACAAATCTCAGGCTTCACCTTTGTGGTGTTGTAGTTTGTGAGTGCCTCACTCAGAGCAGAGCGTAACGCCTTGCTGAGGTCTGGGGTGACATTGCGCAAGGTGCTGCGAGGGTGCTGAGGGAGAGACAGCCACCAGAATTCCCTACGAGGTTCATTTGCTTTGTAGCACAGGCAGGAAGTGCACAGAGAGGTGGAGATGAATAAAGCAGGAGTGTCCTTCCCGGTGTGACTCAAGAGGCTGGAGGCTGAGAGAGCAGTGGAATAGCTGCAGGTCTGTTATCCTGTCCCATGGCTGCATTGCTTTATCCTCCACTCCGAGAGCACTCAGGAAAGGCAAGTTGGTGGCTTAGGCTGTTGTTAAAGTAGTTCCTTCACAGTGATTTACAGGTACCCACAGCAGTGCAGAGCTCCCTGCTTGCTTGTCTCTGCTCCTTGACTTCCTTTCCACGAGGTGGTTGAAGAAGATTTAAGTATATTTGCTTTTGATTGTACTGAATTTGTTTTAAGAAATTATGAAATGAAAGCAAATCAGTGCTTTTCCCTCTCTTGCTCCTCATAGTTTGACTGAGCAGCCATTTCTAGTTTCATTCTCAAACCCAATTTGTGGGATGTTGCTCCCTCCTGCTGCTGTCGTGGGTGCTGGGGCAGCACAGCCGGGTGCTCTCCAGACCCCCCCGAGGAACAGGCTCCCTGGAGCGATGCAGTGCTGCCTGTGGAAGGGCCAGATGGTGCTGGGTTGCAGTTTGGGACTGCAATGCAGACTCTGTTATGCACTGCAGAGCCTGCCAGACCAAACACGATAGTCTTTTTGTCAAACAGGGCTCAACCCAAGCAGCAGTTTCCTGGAGAGAGTTTAATGCTGGGAGGTTTCCCACCCTCTCACATGGGGGAGGGAAGCGGAGGAAGGGGTGATCCCTCGCCATTGGTGCAGTGCCTGCTACAAAGCAAAGGGGAGACAGGGAAGAGAAGTGCTGCTTCATCTTTGCGTGGGAGTTGTGCTCCCTGGAACCACACTGACAGTCCTTTCTTCCTCTCACTCTGAAGTGCCTACAGATGATCTGTGTCTGAAAGTCCACATTAATCTTTCCTCACTGCACCGATCAGTGGTGATCTGGAAGTGTTCATTCCTGTAGGATGGAGCAGTGTCAGACTAGACCTACTCAGGGTGTATATGAGAGGCAGGTTGCTGTGCAGAGTTAAAGAAGCAGAAGGACTCTTGGGAGAGGGGGTGACTGAAGGCCTGTTCTCCTGTGGTCCCCCCACTGTCCCACTCTGTGTCTCATCATCTAGGTAGTATCCTTCTCTCTTAGGCTCTTTGCATATGACCAGATGAGCTAAAAAGGAGATGTGAGTAGGGCACATTGGTCCTCTGGAGGGGAGGGTGTGTGTGGACCAGAGGAGTGTGTGTAGGGCAGTGAGGCAGAGTTACCACAGATGGGTGGACCAGTCACTGAGGGAGGGCGGGGTGTTGTGTCTGGGCAGAGCCTGCGCATCCCACTCCCCTGCAAATCCCACTCCCCTGCACATCCCACTCCCCTGCACATCCCACTCCCCTGCAAATCCCACTCCCCTGCACATCCCACTCCCCTGCTGGGGCAGTGCCTTCTGACGGAGGGATTGCTGCTGCCTCGCTCATAACTAGTGCTGGGACCGAGTCCTGTGTGAGGAGCAGAGGAGGACTCGGCACACACGGAGCGTTCTCTCCTTACTCAGCCTCCCAGAACATTACAGCTGTGCATTAGTGGGACTGGGAGTGAGTACAGGGATAAGTGGTCACTTCCTGAGTTCTCAGTGAGCCTCTCCGTGCCTTTCCCTGCAATTGTCCATGCTCTGCATGAATTTATCACTCCCCCTGCAGTGAGGGGAGAGCTGCCTCGGCGAGGGCTGCAGTGCTGTAAAGCAGCCAGGCTCTCATCAGTTCCAGATCAATGCCAGGCAGGAGTCCGTGGCATCCAGAGCCAGGGGTTTGAAGTGCCTGCTCCGTTGTGGCTCAGAGCAGACTGCTCTGACATCCACCCCCAGATCTCAGAGAAGTGCTGTGGGGACTTTAGCTGGGCAAACAACCTGAAGAGAAAAGGAAACTAAAAAGGAAGAAAAACAACCTAATGCACTCGTGTTCACTGGAGTACGAAAATAAGCTTAATTCCAAATGTAGCAGTTTCATTTGCATTATGCATTTTGCATGAGTGGCCCCACGAATGAATTTACCAGTAGGGCAGAATATAAATAGAGTCTTTTTGAAGTGTCTGCCGTGTCTCCCCTGCAGTAGGAAGCTTGATTGCTGTGTAGGCAGGTGTACACGGACTGGCTGGAGCCTCGCTTGCCTCAATACCAGATCACAAACTCCAGTGCCTGGGAGCTCCCAAGGCCAGCAGCAGAGGTGCAGGAGGGCTGGCACAGTGGGATTGTGAAGCTGTCCTGCCAGGGCAGACCAAACAGGGCTGCTCCAGCCGTGGCTGTGTCCCTGCCCAGGGCAGCTCTCGTCACCTCGGCCTTGGAACTGCTCCAGCACTTCTTGGGGTGCCCAGGTTGGTCCGTGGCTCTTGGCCCTGTGGATATGGAGGCACATTGTCCCAGGGTCAGGGAGTTCCACTGCTGGGCTGAGAAACCGTTCGGAGGAGGCAGACTCCAAACATGAACATCCTACAAACCTTACCCCAAGGTCACCTGGCAGAAAGAAAGGAGGCACAGAGACCATGTAACCCATGGGCTGGATCAAAACAAACCATCCTGGGCAGACTGGCAGTGTTAGACAAAAAAAACCTCTGTAGGTTTTCATAAGCAAAAGGGATTGTATATTATTTTTTCCCTAAGAGCAGTTTGCTGAGCTTTCCCTGTTTTATGCACAGCATCTACCCCCGTGTTTGGTGCCAGGATGCAGCAACCTATATTTAAGATCAGACTATTTTGACTTATGAACAAGGAACATTTATTGGAACAACAGTAAAATCCTGCTCTTGTAAATTGGTTTCCAAATAGCACATAGGCTAAGATAACCAAAATATTTTGATTTCAGACTCTGTGGGAGCAATTATGATGAGGAGGAAAGGAACTATCTGTTTTTGATATATATCACAATGATAAGATTATCATAAATGAGGATTTTTTCAGATTGTAGCTTTTGGGTTTTACAGCTGAAACCTGAAGAAAAGCACAATTTGATGATTTTCAAATTATTATGTCATTGAAAATTTGCAAACTTGCCTGAGTGTCGTTGTTTTATTCCCCAGGGTTTTCATATTACAGAGAAGCTTTACTTTAGCTTTAGAAGCTTTAGAATGGAGGAAATGCATCTTCTCAGGTGCCAGTAACAACTTCCCAGTAAAAACTCAGCACAGATTGCATCATCTGAAAGATGATGTCACTTTTAAGAAGACTCAGATATTCAGAAAATTGATTCAAAGGCTGGAGGGCTGTGTGGAAGGACTAGGAGGGAGCTTCCGTAGGCCAGGAGGACATGGCTCCCAACTGATTTTCATTTTGATTTGCTGATTCCCTTTGTTTCTTCTGACCTATTTGTAGCCTTTCTTAAATTAAATTAAATGAACATGGCTAGTGGCCTGGGGGATGTGATGTTAGGCCAAATCCATAAGTGGTTCCTGGGAGGGGAGGAGCCAGGCAGAATGATTGTTCCCGAGCGGCACAGCAGGGTCCCGTTCCACAGGCACTTCAAAATAGCTGAACAGATTTTTTATCGATATGATTTGCAATTCTGTCGTGTTAAATAGCAAGGCAGACCCAGGAGAGTAACTCATTAAAACCTCTGACCACCCTTGAGGAAAATCAGACTCCACAAACACTGGTAATGTGGCCGGGAGGGGCGAATGGGCTGGGGTTTGTCCTAAATTTGCATTACCTCATTTCTGAAGGCAGCTTTATCAGGCATTGGTCTTAATGTCCTTACAGGAGCTTATTAGAACCATAATGCCAGTTACAATAATAAGTTTTCATTCTCACTGCACAAAGTGACCCAAAATTTGAAG